TGACTCCAACACATCAAACATTACTAGAAGAGATTAAAAGGAGATAACATATTTCACATTAAAGGATGCATTTGAAGTTTAGACTTGTAATTGAATAATGTGAAACAAATGACCAGTACATTTCAATGGTTTCTACTTAATTCATTTAATAGGAGTTAAATAAGGAATGCCATCTTAATTCTTAAGGATTCTGAAAGCATTTCTTCAACAAAGTTCTCTACATCTTGTACTTTAAATTTTTTAAATACATATTTATTTTTGAGATAGAGAGAGACAGAGTGCAAACAAGAGAGGGGCAGAGAGAGAGGGAGACACAGAATCCGAAACAGGCTCCAGGCTCTAAGCTGTTAGCACAGAACCTGAAGCGGGGCTCGAACCCATGAACCACGAGATCATGACCTGAGCCCAAGTCAGATGCTTAACTGACTGAGCCACCCAGGCGCCCCTACATTTTGTATTTTAAATATCACTAGTCGGGTGCCTGGGTGGCTCAGTCATTAAGCATCAGACTCTTGGTTTCAGGTCAGGTCGTGATCTCAATGTTTGTGAGTTCAAGCCCTGCATTGGGCTCTATGCTGACAGCACAGGGCCCAGTTGGGATTCTCTCACCCTCTCTCTCTGCCCCTCCCTGGCACACTCTCTCTCTCTCAAAATAAATAAATAAACTTAAAAAAAAGATTAAAAATAATATCACTGCTAAAATTTGCCTGATCTGTTTTCAGCATGTAGACCTTTACATTTTTATACTATTTTTTTTTCTGTTTAATAAAAGCAATACATCACTTAGAAATTTTGGAAAGTACCAAAAATCCCAAAGAAATAATTGCTTTTTTAAAATATCATTTATTGGCAAATTGGCTAACATACAGTGTGTAAAGCGTGATCTTGGTTTTTGAGGTAGAGTCCTGTGGTTCATCGCTTACATACAACACCCAATGCTCATCCCAACAATTGCCCTCCTCAGTGCCCATCACCCATTTTCTCCTCTCACCATCCCCTCACCCCCCTCACCATCCACTCACAGTTTGTTTTCTGTATTTAAGAGTCTCTTATGGTTTGCTTCCCTCCCTCTCTGTTTGTAACTATCCCCCCGCTTCCCCCATGGTCTTCTGTCAAGTTCCTCAAGATCCACATATGAGTGAAAACATATGATATCTGTCTTTAGGAAATAATTGCTTTTAATGCCACTCCCTGGAGATCATCACTCTAAAATTTTGGCGTTTGTCACCTTGCAGACTTTTTTCCTCGAAGTCCTACACTTGGCTGAGGTAGTATAACATGCACAACTGTGAATTCTGGTCTTGAAATGTCACTTAACCTTGTATCTATAGTCAGCATTTTCCCATTTCGTTGGGATTCCTCACACACATCATCCAAATGTCTGTAGCCAAGATTTACAGGGTGGGCTCCAGACCAGCAATACAGGCATTGCATGAGAGCTGCATCTGCAGGGACCCACCCAGACCTACTGGGTCAGAGATCTGGAGGGGGGGCATCCAGTCATCTGTGGGTCAGCAGCCCCTAGATGATGCAGAGGGAGTTTGAGAACCCCAGCTATGTGGTCTGGCTCTCAGTCTCCTGGGGGAGGCGGAATAAGAATTTTCTTTTTTACAGTTATAAATGTTTTACAGAACCCTTTGTTCACATTTCGGAGTATTTCTTTCAGATACAGTAATTAATCAAATGTATACTCACCTAGTGAAAGGGTATGATACATGGAGACTGAATTCGTTCTGGATACAGGTTGTGGTAGTTTTCACTCCTCCAAATACAGCTTGAGATGCTCTCTCTGACCACAGCCTTCCTCTTACACAAACTTGTTCTTTTCATGCTTTTTCTTTTTTTTTTTTAATTTTTAATGTTTTATTTATTTCTGAGAGACAGAGAGAGAGACAGAAATAGAGAGAGACAGCGTGAGCAGAGGAGGGTCAGAGAGAGATGGAGATACAGAATCTAAAGCAGGCTCCAGGCTCTGAGCTAACTGTCAGCTCAAAGCCCAACGCAGGACTCAAACCCAAGAACTATGAGATCATGACCTGAGCCAAAGTCGGATGCTTAACTGATTGAGCCACCCAGGTGCCCCCTTTATAAAAATTTTTTTCATGCTTTTTCTTAGTAAGTTATTTGTATCTTTCATATTGTCTTCTATAACTTTTTCTTTTTTTTTAATGTTTATTTATTTTTGAGAGGGACATAGGGTGTGAGTGCGGGAGGGCCAGAGAGAGAGGGAGACACAGAACCTGAAGCAGGCGCCAGGCTCTGAGCTGTCAGCCCCGAATCCAATGTGGGGCTCGAACTCATAAACTGTGAGATCATGACATGAGCCGAAGTCAGATGTTCAACCAACTTAGCCACCCAGGCGCCCCTATAGCTTTTTTTTTTAATAGCAAGGATGTGTTAAAGCTACTTTTTTGTGCCTTTACATGTTTGTGATCATTTTAGCCTACAGATATTTTTCACCTGACCTGGCCAATCCTACGTATTTATTTATTTTTATAAATCTAAATGCCATTTCTCATTCCTGAGATTAAATAGTATTTACTTATATTTTCTTTTAATGTTTACATGAAAAAATTTAGAACTGTAGTCCACTCAGATTCTTTTTTTTACCGTAACTTTTTTTTACTGTCTAAATAGCATTTTTTTATTAAAGGTTTTTATTTTTTTAATGTTTAAATATTTTTGGGAGAGAGAGAACGAGAGACAGAGAGCAAGCAAGGAGGAGCAGAGAGGGAGGGAGACACAGAATCTGAAGCAGGCTCCAGGTTCTGAGCTGTCAGCAAAGAGCCCGACGTGGGGCTTGAACTCACGAACCATGAGATCATGACCTGAGCTGAAGTTGGATGCTCCACCGACTGAGCCACGCAGACACCCGTAAATAGCATTTTCAAAAGTGCTTAAACAATTTTTCTATAATACTGTCAGTGAATATTTTAATCATAACTTTCACTTGCTCACCGTGATTCCCTGTTTGATTTAACCTTAGCACCTGTGATATTCAAATTATTTCAGCACAGCAACTGTGGTCCCCTTATAGTCCTGTGTTACAGCGAAAAATAATGTCAGGTATTTTGTTCATTTACTTTTTATAATGTACCAAGAGCTTAAAAAGCTTAATTTCTTATCTGACGGGGAGAACATGTCATTGTTCCTTTTGTGAGGGTGTTTCAATGCATTTTTGTTCTGAATAAATTTAGCTTCTCCTCTCTCCATTATAGTTGGATGGAAACCATTCTTAGACTTTGTGTATGTACAAAGTCTATAAAGTTCACACAGTTTTCTACTTTTATCCACCTTGTAGTTTAAACAAGTTTGAAAAATGAAAGTAATATTTATGAGTTGACTTCATTTCTCTTTGCAGTAAAGCTTACAAAAGAGTGTGTAGATGGAGACTTTGAGCCCCTATCATGAAAAAATCGCAGCTACCTAGTGGGTCAGGAAGGAAGAAATAATCTGAGGGAAAGATCAGGAAGAGTCTAATGAAAAGCATGACTTGCAGGTTGGCGTAGGATTGCAGGTGGCACGGCGTCACGGGTCAAGCATTGAACTTTGATTTCAAGGTGGAGGGAAATCGTAGTGTTTGCCATAGCCTGGCCCCTTCCTGCTAGAGGGGAGACTGGAGGTGTGCTGCCCCAGAGAGAGGTGGCTGTGGGGACATCTCCCAGGTTCTAATTCACTCCCCTTCTGGGCCACAGCAGGTACTGGTGGGGTTTCTTCTCCTGGGAAGGAGCTCTGTGGGAGGCGGTGGGAGAGGTGGATGGCGGGCCGGAGGACATCTTTAAAGATAAAATGGTCTCTGACCTCATTGGAGATCTTGCTCAGAAGTGATGTTTCTCTCATAGTTTATTGCTTATTTGAGTCTCATCTCATTAGAGTCTCACCGCAGTCCTGTGATGTAATTGGAACTGTTGTCATTGTCATCACTTGACAAATGAGGAAAGGCAAACACAGAAGCTTAAGGAATTGGCTGGAGGTCACACAGCGGAGGGGTAACAGATCCAGGAAGAGAGCTACAGATTCCTGGACCGTGGTTCTCTGTGCTTAAGCACTAAGCCGGGGTCACATCGGTTTTTCAGATGACTTTTTATCGTTAAGTCCAATTGAGTAGAAAATATTTCTTAAATTCTGCTTATAAAATGATACTGTCGTGTGAATGTACTTAATATATTGGCCTTAAGAAGTAATCTTCATTTACGGGGCGCCTGGGTGGCTCAGTCGGTTAAGTGTCCGACTTCGACTCAGGTCATGATCTCGCGGTTCGTGGGTTCGAGCCCCGCGTCGGGCTCTGTGCTGACTGCCAGCTCGGAGCCTGGAGCCTGTTTCAGCCTGTGACTCCCTCTCTCTCTGACCCTCCCCTGCTCACGCTGTCTCTCTCCCTCTCCTAAAAATAAATAAAACTTAAAAAAAAAAAAAGAAGTAATCTTCATTTATATACACTTTTGATAGTTTTCTTTTTCTACAAAAGGTTTTGTGTTTGTCACTGGGAGCACATTAGAGTGAAGTGGTATCTGTCCCAAACATAGTCTTTCTATCCTGTTCTTTTTTTAATTTTTAATTGAAGTATGGTTGACCTACACAATTATATACATTAGTCAATGGTCATCACAACAAGTCTGTTACCACCTGTCACCATAGAAAGTTATTAAATATTATTGACTATATTCCATAGACTGTACTTTTCATCCTTGTGACTTACTTATTTTATAACAGGAAGTCTATAACTCTTAATTCCCATCACCTTATGTATTCTTGTTCTTCTTAAGGCATTAAACTCAGCTGAATCAAGGAACTAACTCTGTGAGGAGGCAGAAATATTTAGGAGACTCTAAAATAAAAATTGTCTTTTCTTCTTATCCTGTTTTCTTTCATTGGATTCTTTGTTTTGAATTAGTACTCTATTTGCTTAATGGACCCTTTCCTCATTTTTCCATCTTTGGTTTTTCTTTTTTTTCTGACTTGAGCTGAATTCCTAATTCCTACTATCTATTTTTTCCTTCTAGGTAAAATGGAAAACCAGTATACCCTCTTTGTGGCTGGAGGAACCGTTTTATTATTGCTGTTTGTAACCCTAATAACCACCGTCATTGTCATTTCTTACCGCAGGTGAGTATTGCAGCTCATTCTGAATCTGGTTTCCCCTGAGTAATTCCAATCTGAGGGGTTCTGTGTTAATATCCAGTAGTTGGCCAACCTGTCTTAGCACTCACATACACAAATATTTTTCTTACACGAAGGAGAAGTAGTTGTGGGTAATATCAGGGGAGAAAGCTAGCGCAGTTCACTTAAGAATTAATAGGAGCTGCTCCCACATTAACAAAACCTTCATATCCTGGGCAGACAACTGCCTGGTTCCTCTGTGCTGCCTCCAGTGCCATCTGTCTTCCTCCTCCTGCAAGGAAAAGAGGCTGCTGGGTGTGTGTGTGTGTGTGTGTGTGTGTGTGTGTGTGTGTGTGTGTGTTGGAAAGGGGAGAAGAAAAGGAGGAGGGATTCTGAGAAGGGGAAGAACAAGGTTGAGCAGCAATGATAATTCATGTGTTCATTCATCAAGCATCTACTTCGACGTAGTGAACAAGACGTGACGGAGTGCACATTCTAATGAACAACATAGTTTTAAATGGTTGTAATTTCTCTGATACAAGCAATGTAGCTAGTATTCCTAAAAAATTATTGGGGAAGAAAGGTGTTGGCGGGGGCTAATTTAGAGACAGTAGTTGGCCATTGACCTCAGCTAAAGTTTCCCACCTTTTACTGTCTTGTGGCACCCTTAGGGATTTTCTAGGGTTTTCTTGGTTGACTCTTTCTCCCTTCTCTTGCTGTCTTACATTCCCCAACTCACTTGTCTATGTATTTGTTGCAATCTTAGCTGTGATCATATTGAGTTGGAATTACTCTTCCTTATGTTCCACTTAAAGTGTTCTCTTCTTAGAGAAGGGAAGGAATACGATCTCTGCTCTTCTCTTTTACCCCAGCAATATTACCAAGCACACGCATACGCGCACGTGCGTGCGTGCACACACACACACACACACACACACACACATGCTTGTGCATGCATGTATATTAATGGGTTATCAGGCAGGTTTCTCTGTCTCGTCTCCGTATCCTGACCTCACATCTTTGGAAGCTTGTGGTACTGCTCAGTTGATATTAGTGAATATTCTCAGTCTGCTTCCTGATGCCAGGTATCTCCTCTCTCCTCTCCTTCTAACACATTTACTTTTCCCGGGTGCTCTTCTAGAAGCAAGACTGATCATGTCCTTCCTGTTTAAACCTTTCATCATCTTCCTACTGCCACCAGAATGACGTTAGAAGTCACGAACACTGTATCAGAGGTGCCTGTTGTTCTGACCCCCACCTAATTAGTGGAGCCCCAATCAAATGCTCACTCATATTTTCTACTTTACTCCCCTTGATGTTGGAAAATTTTGTTAAAACTGCAAATCTTTAAAAAAACTAAAAAAATATTTTTTTAATGTGTACCTTTGAGAGAGAGAGATGCATGAGCAGGGTAGGGACAGAGAGAGAGGGAGACCCAGAATCCAAAGCAGGCTCCAGACTCTGAGCTGTCAGCACAGAGCCTGACGCAAGGCTTGAACTCACGGACTGTGAGATGATGACCTGAGCCGAAGTCGGACACTTAACTGTGCCACCTAGGTGCCTCTAAAATATATCTTTAGAGAGAGGGCATGTGTGAGTGAGTGAGGGGTGGACGGAGAGGAAGGGGGAGAGAGGAACTCAAACAGGCTCCATGCTCCATGTGGAGCCCAACTTGAGGCTGGAGATCATGACCTGAGCCGAAATCGAGAGTCAGATGCTTAACTGACTGAGTCACCTGGACGCCCCAAACTGCAAGCCTTATTCTGTGAACAGAGTCAGGTGACTCTCTTCCCATTTGAAAAGCCAACAAAATGCTATTTCCCAATATTTGGCCTTACTCTTGTGGATCATTCCAGGCGTGGGACACATGTCCCCTGTGGGAGGTCTGTCCTGGAAAGCGACATGATGTCACCATGTGGACTCACATTGTACTTTGTCTCTGCCGCATCTCACAGGCTGCTTTGTAGCTGAATCACTTTTGTGCTTGTCCTCCCTCCTGTTCATAATGACAGGATTGTGTTTTGTTCATTTCTTAGTGAAGCATTTAGCACTTATGTTTCCAAATAATGGATGGTCAGTATGTATTTGTCTAATTAAATTGAATCACGAAACAGTCATTTCCCCTTTCTCTCCATCATGGGCTGCCCTCAAGTCTTCTCCCTGGTCAGAAATTAGCAAATTGAGAGAAGGAATCCAGGATGTCAGTGACACAGAGGATTTTTCTAGTGCTTCACCCCGGTTGATGAGAAATGCGCTGAGGGCAGCTCCAACAGCAGGAGCATCCGGAACGCGGGCCACAGGGTAGGACAGAGTGAGTGACAGCATGGATCTCCAGAGGGTCACAGATGTTGGGCATGATGGATTTAGCTTCATGAAAATGCATCACTTTTACATGAATAGCTAAATTGAACTGCAGAATACATTGTTCCATTTGGCTAAACGAGATAAAAAGATTCACAGACTTGAATGCGTTATCGTGGCTGAACATCACAAAGGAAGACACACTTGTTCTTTCTACTTTCTTGCCCGTATCTGTTTGTGGTTGTTACTTGGAATGGAAATGTTTTGAAAAATGACCCCAGAGCTTAAACAGCGGCCTTCTTGACTCTGTGTTAGTCACTGTTTAAAATAATCTCGCTGCTTCGGATGCACTGACCAGGGGAGAAGCCAGAGGAAGCTGTAGTGTGCCTGAATGAAACTGAGCCCTTCCTCTACAGCCAGCACCTCGTAGCCTGTGTGTACGGGGGTCCAGGGGCATTTCCCACACTTCTCTGCTCTCAGTTTGTGTTGCTTCCAGTTAGAGATCAGAATGGTAGCATTATCAGTCAATGTGCTTGGTGGATGTGTGTGGCGCCGGTTAGGCAGGTTGGAGCCAAAAGGCAGTCTGTTCATCGACACCCGTGTTTATAGGAAGAAATGTAATGTTCAGTGAGCAAAATGTTGCAGATGTATTTTTACCTTTGTTGCCCACTTTGATGTTCTGGCCCAAGAGGCTATTTTGCTTTGCTCGGGACTATCGTGATTTCAGCCTCCTCTCGGGGAATCTCTTTTGGATCAAGCCAACCAGAATGGCTGCTCAGCCTAGAACAAAACACAGTGTTTACTGTCTTTATTTTGCAGGGGACTGAACTTTACAGATGCAAACGATTAGTAAATTGCTGAGCACCAGTTAAACACAGATCATCTGACTCCAAGCTTCTTGTTCTCTTTCCTCCATGATGCCATCTATTCTAGGCTTATGTCAATAACATATATATTTGGAGCTCTTTGGGAAAATTAATTCTGTATTATGAGATAGCAAGCCTTGTGAACCATGATTTAACAAAAGATCCAAGGTCATAGATTTGTTCCCTTCTATTTGTAAATAGAAGGCAGTAATAGCACCTGTCACACAGATTCTTTTGAGGAGTAAGTAATTTATATGGAAGACCTGGAAACATGACTTTCACATAATAAACCTACACATCAAACAATTAAATAAGTTAATCGTGTAAAAGAGACATCATAAGTAAACAAGTGCACCCAGAATAAGATAAGTTTGTGATTATGTTGACGTAGCAGGAGGATTTCAGGGCGACTAGGAGAGAATACGTCCATCATCTGAACCACTGTTCCTTGGCGGGAGACTAGCTGGCTGGTTTTTAAACTTTCCATGAAGGAATGACACCTTTATCTTTTTGCAAAAAGGAAAACAACCCCACATTTTTGCATCTGGTCCATCTCCTCTATGGCCTGATAAGAATCTTTTCTTTAGGGAGATGAAAAAAAGATAGTCATCATCTCCTCATGATAACTATTTTCATACACTTGGATAGAGTCATTCCATGTACCGCATTCAATTATAGTAGCCTTCTTTTCTTCTCCTCTTGAATTTTCTCTTCAAAGGTTCCTCCTGAAGTGAGGTGTTTATAGTTTTCCTTGGGACGGTGGAGAGTGCATGGACTCTCCTGGCTCCAGGTGGCCCATTGACATCCAGTGACGTGATTCCAGAAGCAGTAGAGCCTAACAGTCATGAGGGAAGTCTGTGGATTAAAATTCTGATACTGCCACTAACCAACCATGTGATTTGGTTCAAAGTGCCTCAGTTTCCCACTCTGTTACATTTATGGGTTTGGTGAAAGCTAAATAAAATAATCCATAGAGGAGGCTTAGTAAAACACCTGGAAGTTTCTGTAAAGGGGAACTCTATTATCACTGGCATCTGAGAAGTTACACTGTGGCATTTAAAATAAAGTTCTGTATTGTGGGAAATCTCTAAGCCCAAGATTATTCAGAAAAGGCAGTAAGCCATTTATGTAACAATTCACTATGAACCATTCTTTAGGAAGCTCACTGAGATTAATTACTAATGCATACTGGCTGGATATCCATTTAGATCTCTTCACCATCTGTGGAAGATAAAAAATGAAAAATTAGGTCAAGGGAATTTTGAGTAGGTTTGTATAAACCAACCATGGATGCTGCTTCAACATATTAATAAAGGCATGTGGGCTGGGGTACAGGTAACGTATAATACTCTATTATATGCAATAATACTTGTGTTGGAGTGTCATATGTTAATACTTCTATTGAATATGTATTCTCAGGAGAAGGAAACAGAAAAGAGGACTATTTAAAGAGCACAGAAATAAGGATGCACAGAATAAGGTAAGTTCTCTCAGAACTGTCATTGCTCCTGCTTCGGCGCATTGTAAACATCCTGTAACATCAGTCCATTTTGCAGTCAACGACCTTATTGTTCCTTCAATAACCTGGCCATGGAGTTGCCTGTAATTCCAGTGTCATCTCTTTGAGGAAACACTTGTTTTCTGACCTATTTTCCCATTATTAATGCTCTTTGAAACAGTTTGTTTTATATCAGTACAAATGAAAGGTACAATCACAACGACATCCTAATAATCAACACTATGCATTCCCAACATCTGTTAATTGGTTTCCCAGGGCTGCCACCACCAAATTATCACAAAGGAGGTTACTTAAACAACAGAAATCTATTCCCTTGCAGTTCTGGGGGGTTGAAGTCCAAAACTGAGTCTCTGCAGGATCTGTTCCCTCTTGGGATGAGAGTCTGTTCCACGCTTCTCTCCTGGCTTCTGGCGGGTGGTGGCAGTCCTTGGCCTTCCCCGGCTGATGGACCCTTCACTCCAGTCTCTGCCTCTGTCTTCCCATGACATTCTTTAGTGTTGGCATGCACATGCCTGTCTCTCTTCCCTTTTTATAAGGCATCAGGGGTGTTGGACTAAGGGCTCACCTTACTTCAGTATGACCCCATCTTAGCCATTCACACCCTCAACAACCCCACTTCCAAATAAGGTCGCATTAAGAGGGTTTAGGAAGTGCATTCTTTTTGGGGGGGGTCACCATCGACCTAGAACAGGCATTATAATAATATTTTTATATTCTAAGTTTATTGTGAGGATTAAATTACACCATGTAAAAGACCCGAGGCATAGCAAGCACATTAGAAAGACACAGTGCTATGCTATTTATTATCATTATTATGGTTTTTATTGATGTATTAACTAAAGGATTCTCAGATTTCTTTTTTTAATTTTTTAGTATTTATTTATTTTTGAGAGACAGAGAGACAGAACGAGAGCAGGGGAGGGCAGAGAGAGAGGGAGACACGGAATCTGAAGCAGGCTTCAGGCTCTGAGCTGTCAGCCCAGAGCCCAATGTGGGGCTCGAACTCATGAACTACGAGATTATGATCTGAGCCAAAGTTGGCCGCTAAATCAACTGAACCACCCAGGTGCCTTGTTTAACTGAAAGAGTAGAAAATCTCTTCTGGGTTTGCAGATAAGCAGGATACTTATTTTCATAGTCAATGCCTCCACTATTGGTCAGATATTCTCTTTAACATACATTATTCTGTTTACAAAATTTTACAGTAAAACATTTCTCCAGGTGTTATCTAAAATTACATCCCTTTCTCTTTAATTATTTTCAATTGAATTCTACATCGCCAAACATCAAGTAATAAAAAGTTTCTCACAATCTAACATGTGTGCTTCAGATTTCTTTGTTACCTATTTATCTGTTGGTTGGAACTTTTTCTTCTCTTGGTTACTCTCCACACAACAAAAAGTGTTTCTGGACAATTCATGGCTGGCTTTTTGATACTAACTGGAAAGACTGAGGAAGTCCTGCCTTGTGTCACCTACCTCTCTAACAAGCAATTAAATAGTGCTCTGTCATACACAGTTGCGGGGCTCCCTGCTCTGTCCTTAGCTGCTGTCCACTCAAGCCAATCTAAAGCCAAGTTTATTGCTGTGAATTTCAGAGGAGCAAAAGAGCTTTGCATCTTCCTGCATTAAGTGTTCAACTTGTTCAGACTTCTATAGACTAATGATCTTTTGAATGATGGTTAGGAAGTTAGATAACAAGTTGGATTGTGAAAGAGGAAGAAGCTAGACCTACCTGATAGTTTTGGGGTTGTAGGCACGCTCCTTAAGTAACAACCGCAGTGTCACTTTCCCTTTGCTTTTGGCCTGCACACACGGGAACCGGTCGCAGTTTCCAAACTACTCACCAAAGGACCCCTCGATCTTGTTTTCCTTCTCTTCCTCTCAACTTCCCTCTCTTACCCATACCTACCTATTTTCTGCCACGTATATAGATAGGTGGTCAAAGTGACTTGATTAGGATAGAGAATATTAATGATTTTATAACCTCATTTTGAAAGTAATGCCACCATTTTGTTCATTTCTTTTATTGTGTTTAGTTGCTTATTTTTAAGACAAGAGACTGTGTACTTTAAAAGTATTGTTTCTTAAAGCATTCATTCAATGGAAATGATTGAGTATCCACTAAGGAAGATGCTATATTAGACTTCCATATAAAAATGAGAATAATTGTTCTTATCAAACACGGAGAGAAAGTTCTGAGGCTAAGCAGGTATTTCATAATCTATAAAATGTAGCAAATGATGATCTAGATTAGTCTCCTGTTGCATGTCACTCTGAGCCCCGCAGGTCAAGAATGTGACTTCTCATAGAAGTTCAGTACAAGGAAGAGACTCTTTGATGAAGTTAATCATAATAGATATTTGACTTCTATTGTGGTTGATTTAAGAGGAGATTTGTTTTGGGTATCTTTGGTTTTTGCTGAAATGCAGTGAATCATTGACATTCTGTCTGTCTTCATAGGCAACCAACAACTACAGAAATCCCATCTCTACTCATCAGTCCTCGGATAGTGCAAGAGAAGATATTTACGTCAACTACCCAGCCTTCTCTCATAGACCAAAGACTAGAATCTAAGCTTTTTCCTGGACTTGAGCAAAATTTATGATGACTGTTATGTACATGGATCTTAATACAATTTCTTCCCACTACACAGTGCCTATCCTGGATACCAGTTAGCTAAATTTATTTAATTTGATAGGAAAGATACTTTCTTACCTAGAGAACATTCTTAACAGAAATGTTTCAGAAAACCTGACTCTAATTAGCTTAGACATGAAGGGAAACTTACTGAATCATGTAATGGGACCATCCCAGGGAGATGAAGCTTCAGGCAAGGGTAATTCACAGAGGTTTAAATGTCATGCTTAGAATTAAGCTCAAGCATAAACCCCTTTCTGGATCCCCTTTTGTGGTGTTGGATCCACTTTATTGGTGTTAGCCTCTCATTCAGGCATTTCCCTTGTGTTTCCAAAAACTCTTGGCAATTCATAATCCTTGTTTCTGCCTGGGAGAGAGTTTACTTCTCTGATAGAGCAAATAGACTTGGTTATTTGTCAAGCATTAAACAGGCAACATGGCTGGTAAGGATGGATTGGTTTAAGTCAATTAAGGGTTCACTTCTAGAACAAGGAGTGAGGCCAAAGCACATTACTGGGAATTCAGAGTATCATTAGATGAGGGAGACAGGGCCTGGAAGCTGGGCTGGTTACCAACAGATGTGAACAGCAGTGCCATTCCGAGACATCTCTTGTTAACCAACTAAAAAGAGAATATGTGGACGGGTATGGGTCAGCTCTCCCTCTGCCTACTGGAAAATCTGCTATATCAGCAGAGTTCAGAAGAGTACTTGGCAGCAGAACAAAGGAATGGCCAAGAGGAAGATAAATGTGACACGGAATCTCTCCCCTTTCTCTTATCAAATAAAGTAATCTCTGATCTACATAGAATTCTTGCCACTATCCCTGGTCTAGCTTTAAGAACAAGTGTAGTAGATGGTCCAATGATAACTTAATGTTTTTGATATTGAATTTTTTCACTGTTGAGAATTATTTTATTTTTTTTAAATGTTTACTTATTTTTGAGAGAGAGAGAGAGGCAGGTGGAGGGGCAGAGAGAGAGAGAGGGAGGCATAGAATACGAAGCAGGCTCCAGGTTCTGAGCTGTCAGCACAGAGCCTCACGCGGGACTCAAACTCACAGGAGGTGAGATCAACACCTGAGCAGAAGTCAACTGAGCCACCCAGGTGCCCCCAAGAATTATTTTTAATATGTAAATCCTCTCAAAAGAGTCAGGCATCTAGGCATTATTGGTTGCTGTTGTTGTTGTTGTTTTAAATAACTATGTGAAATCTGAATATAAGAAAAAGAATGTTAGCTGGAGTGTGGTTTGGGTTGTAGGGTCGAAATGTGGGGGGAGGAATATTGGAGAGCTACAGGGAAGGGGGGACAGGGAACAAAGAACGTGAAGATCCAGAGAAACTTGTCCTGCTTCACACTTTGGCCGAGACAACCCTAGTGAGTCACTACAGAGCAGTTAGTGGCCTTTATGCCGTTGTCCAAATTCTAGATGGAGGCCAACATGAAAAGTGTTTCTGAAACCAAGTAATGAGAGCACAATGGTCATTGCCAAAGACGGCGATCATTCATGTCTCAAATAGTTACTATTCATCTCTAAAGATTCCTCACAAAAATTGCATCTGAGGTATCAAAGTTGTAGACTTTTTGGGATAATTTTAAGTGAACCAAAACCAAACCCTTAGGTTATCTAGGCAGATTCTAAGCTGTTATTTACAGTTTTAAGCAAGTCCGTTGGTGTTTTATGATTACAGCTTTAATATGCACGCCAGATAGTGCAATAACTCTGTGAATTACAGAAATTGTGAGTGCTCTATCTGTTTCAGAAGGGAAGAAGTAAAAAAGGTTACTTCTCAATTGTATGTACATCCATGTATTTAGTTGTTATTTTTATTTTTGGCTTAAAGATCTTTATACCTGGATTCATGAGATATTTCCAGAAATATACCATTATAACCAGATTGGAAGGTAGTTTACAAGGCAACAATTCTGCTACTTTGTTAACTATATCAGAGCTATAAAAGTTTCCATGGCTGAATCTATCAGTATGCATGGTGAAACAAACCTAGCATTATTTCAAAGATAAACGATTTCTTTTTCCTAAAAGTCAAAGACAGTCAAAATATTACTTTCTGGAAGATTCTGATAACCAAATTCTCAATGACGAATACGAGTGAGTGGTAAAACATTTCTATCATCGCAGTATGGGGAAATGTAAATCCCGCTTTAACAGAGGAAATGATCGTGGGGGTGTGGGTGCGCAGTTCAGCCAGAGAAAACCATCTTCATGGCTACACTCACCAAAGACTTTTGTAGCAGAGCCTCTAGAACATTTACAACCTGTTTTTCCATGTATGTTTTACTTTCTCTTTAACTGTCACTCACAATATTTATGAGGACTCTATACTCTGCCCTCTTCTTCCAGTATTCTTCCTCTACAGAGCTTGGGATTTTTCAGGGGTTTTGGAGCCCTTCTAAGTCCTCCAGGATTTCTCTGAACCCCCTGCTGGACCTGTTACACTCTTAGCTGTTCATGCTGATGAAATTCTACTCACTAATTTTCTTCTTCTGGACATCTTTACTTATTAACAAAGCACTTTTGTTGTTGTCTGTTTAATATTATTCCTAATTTGCTAGAGTTTTGTAACTCTATGTAATATATATATATATAACTATACCTACTATATATATACTACATGGTATATATAGTATATTGTGTGTGTGTGTGTGTGTGTGTGTACACAGTGTATATATATATTGTGTGTATGTGTGTGCGTGTGTGTGTGTGTATCCCCCTAATCTCTTGTATCTACTATTCTGGTTGTTACTAAGGAAACAGATCAAAACAGATACACAGAATAAAAGGTCAGAATTGAATTAAATTATGTTTTAAATCTTTATTTGAAAGGTGCTACTTAGGAGGCAATAAGATTATTTTTTACATATATAATATATGATGACATGTAATAGGTTACATAAAAGTCTGTGTCCATTGGGTGCCATTATTTGAATATTTACATTAAAGTTACTGATTAAAGGGAATTGCTGTATGATGACGAGGTAGGTAAGTTTGTTGAATGTCAGTATAAACAGTTTTGTCAGGGAAAGAATGCATGCTATTAACCTACAATGACCAGGTATTGACTATATTATCAGAGAGACCTTGAGGCATTATTTAAAGGACTTTATGCACACTGAGAAAATAGAATTGAAATTTCATTAGCTTGTAATTATACTTATGAATGGAAGGCAATGGATGCAACTATATTCTTTAGTTAGTAAATATCGAATGTATAGGATATATTTTTTTTAATGTTTTATTTATTTCTAGGAGAGAGAGAGAGACAGCGTGAGCAGGGGAGGGTCAGAGAGAGAGGGAGTCACAGACTCGGAAACAGGCTCCAGGCTCTGAGCCGGCAGTCAGCACAGAGCCCAACACGGGGCTCGAACCCACAAACCGTGAGATCATGACCTAAGCGAAAGCCGGACGCCTAACCGACTAAGCCACCCAGGCGCCCCAAATGTATAGGATATTTTAAGTAATTCCATTTATTACTAAAATATACATATACATTTAAAATACATTGGTTATCAGTTTACAAGACAAAATATGATAAAAATAACTTCAGTAAGTTTATTTTCATTGTAAACATTGAAGTGTTCTTGGTTTCTATAGAACTATGTTAAATAACACCTACAATTATAGTAATTTACCAAATTTGAAGAGTCCACATTGTAATTAGAAATTGCTGTAATTAAAATGCTTCTCCTGGATTTATAATAATGTGCTATATATTCTCTACTACTTGTATGAGATTTCAACAAGATTGGAGGTATTGTACAACTCGATGCACTAAACTGTGAGTATTGAAAAAGACACCTTTGAAAAATATAAAATGATACAAACCTATAATACAACTATTTATCACCATTAGTTTGGCCACTATTACAATGTAGTGCCTAGAAAGTGTTGACCTCCACATTCAGACTTTTGCATAAATTACTTTTCCACTGTTTTTTATCCCCCCCACTGGAATCATTCTCCATCAAATTTCTAGGCTGTTATATATTTATCTGAAAAATAAAAACAAGTTTTTTTGTTTTTTTTTTTTTAAACTCTTCTATTGCTAGCAACCCATATCCAGAACAGTGGCTTCTAGAATTCACCACAAAGCTTTCTAAGGGACTTTTACAAATCTTCAGGGTTGGTTTACATATTATATTATTCCAGAGTCAAAGCACTAACTGTGTTGTAAGGTGTTGTAATAAAAGACCTAATCTGGAGACATGTGTGATAAATGTCTGGAATAATTCCCATTTATTGCCTATTGTCTGTCTTTGAATGAAGTTAGATCAGTCACCATCTTTAGAACATTTTCTACAGTATTATGTGTAATTTCAGATTCTCTGGTTTTGTAGGGAGTGCAGTGTACTTGACATACTGTATTCTGTTGTTTGAAGGAATAAAGTGCTGTGATTCACCATCGTTAGTTTTACTTGCCATCAAAGAATATTAGGGAGAAAGTCCCACAGGGTAATAAAGCAACGTGAAAAGTTAAGTGCAGAAAAAATTCAAACCACTGACGCCTTGTAACTTCTCTCTCAGTGCAACATTCAGTGCATTTTCTAAGTGTCAGTGGTTCAAAGTCAAAGTGGGATTTTTTTGCAAAGGAAGTTGTTTCCTACCCTTCCTGTTTTTCTTCCATTGAGACAACACATTTCACTTCCTCCCACTGATGATTTTATTTCTCTCTACTTTTCTGAATAGCATGCTTCCTTCACTACTAGATTTTTTTTTTCAATTTTAGACATTATTTATTGATGCAGATGCCTTCCTCTCCATAAACTCGCTCACATGCGTACATTTCCCGGGTGCTCATCCTTCCAAAATATTTGTACTAAAATTGGATTATTTCAATATTTGGTGTCTGTATTTTTATGACTTTGTCAACACTCTTCTCAGCTGAATCGAATGGTAAAAATGATGGTGTGTTCAACCAGTTTTGTATTTTTTACCATACATGTATCTCAATTCTTCCTCGGTGATCCAAATAATCCTCTGTGATGAACAGGTGTTCCCAACAGTCTTATCTTCCTGAAAAAGTTGCCCCAGAATCTTGGGCCGCAAAGCAGTGGTTCTTCCTTCATAGCCGTCATTTTGTGTCTCCCTTCACTCAGAAAAAAAAAAAAAATGAAGAAAAAGGAACATGAAACCTGGAATCAATCTGGAAAATTTCCTAGTACAAAAGGATATGAGGTTCCAGACTGCAATTGTTTAAGCAGCACACTGAACAAGGGATGATAAGAAACTTATTAATATTTGGGTTTGTGTCTGTAAGAGTTGGGGGTATTGGTTTTAGTCATTAGAAGCTGATGTTGAATTTTATAGAAAAAAAAATACCCCAATATAGTTCATTCATTTGAATGGTATGATATGAGTGACTTACAGCAGTTCTAGCGCAAACAGGAAACGTGTCCATAAGCAGGAGAAACACTATGACTTAAAGCTCAACCACTCAGCCTGGAGCACTGTGCTGCAAACCTGAACGGCATCACTGCCCACACGGGCACAAGTTATTTTTGCCTTTCCTTTTTCTTTTAGAGAGGGAGAGAGAGTATGAGCAGGCGAGGGAGAGAGAGAGAGAGAGAGAGAGAGAGAGAGAGAGAGAGAGAGAGAATCTTGTACAGGCTCCACACTTCTATGCTCACTGCGAACCCAACACGGGGCTCGATCCCACCACACTGGGATCGTCATGTCCTGAGCCAAAATCAAGAGTCAGACACCCAACAGACAGAGCCACCCAGGTGCTCCAGCACGTGGACAAGTTCTGAACCCCACTTTCTATTTGCCTCACTTGTTTCAGAGTCAATCCCCCTTACATACCAGTGAGGAGTCATCCTTTCATAATGCAGGCAGGG